CAGACACACACACACACACACACACACACACACACACAAACACACGGGACACCTGCTCCGAGCCTCTGCTGGCAGACTGTGGCCATCAGTAGGACATCAACTGAGGGCTCCCGGACACCAGGCCAGGTCTTTAGGTGTGGTCTCATGGTCCCCATCCCAACACATGGGGCTTTTTGCAAAGCCAGTGAAATGTCTGGAAGTCTGATTCTTATTTAAGGGCAAAGAAACCAAAGGATATAAAGAGAAAGCTTCCTCCAAATTGGGTTGCTCAGGATTTGGAAACAGATTCCCCTGAGTCACGATACTAGTACATCTGGAAACAAATGGGTTTTTCCTGTATCTCCGAGTATTCCTGTGTGTGTATTTTCCAGTTGCCTGGTAAATTCTTTAACAATAATATAATATGGACACATCTGACCTCCTGGTGGAACCTGTAAATTATACCATTTAGGGAAATGTTTCTCAAATTTTCAGTGTTCTTGAAATTACCTGCGGTGCTTTTTCATATGGAGACCCCTGGATCTGTGTCCCTAGGGCCAAGCTGAGATAAATGGGACTGGAGTGGGGATGTGCTGCCCTCAAGAGGGAAGACCTGCAAGGGACAGGCAGAGGGGTGGGTGTGTCATTCTAATGTAGAAGGCAAAAAAGGTAAGTCATTCCTTCTACAACATGAGCCTTTGTTATATAGATATAGAAGACCTAACCATAAATGCTTGCATTTAAAATAAATATTTGTTGAATGGCTCTCAAATCCACTTACCTTGAGATTCACAGGTGTGCAGAGGTACATCACACAAACACACTCATGCACACACACACACACACACACACACACACACACACACACACACACAACACTCAGGGAACCTTCATGGTCATGGACAGCACCAGGCAGTCAACAGGAGCAAACAGAGTGAATGGCCCACATGATTGGCTGGGGCAGACAGCTCACAGTCTGCTCTGAGGGCTGAGATGGGGGTGGGAAGGGGCAGGGCAGGCAGGGAGTCGGGAGGAGACCAGGGAGCTGGGCACTGCTGTCCAGGAAGGAGCACTGTTCCCAACAGAGAACACATCTCTATGCAGAGGGGCCCGGGGACTAGCTGTCTCTGCAACATCCCAAAACTAACCCTAAACCAGGGTGCTGAATTTGCAGTGGGTGGGATGGAGGTTAATGGTGACAACCAAGGGAAGC